TTCTCCTTGTCCATCTGCCTAGTTTTTCTGCCTTAGCTTTTCATTGGAAATAAGAGTATTATTGTTACATTGTCTGTTCTTCTCTTCAGTTCTGATCTGACAGGTTGTGCTCTACATTTTGTAAAGCTCTGTAAGGTGCATATATTAAAAATGTTCATGGCTTCTTGATGGATTGACCCATTTGCATGATAAAATATTTTGACTCATATTGGGTGACTGTTTAATTGTCTTAGGATCTAAACTGCCTCTTGTAGGTAGTGTATACTGGGTCAAAGTTTTTTAATCCATTATGATTCCCCTTGCCTTTTGATCAGAGTGTTTAATACGTTTACTGTTTTGTTTTGTTGGAGGGGGGGTACCAGGTATTGAACCCAGAGGCACTTAACCACTGAGCCACATCCCCAGCCCTCTTTTGTATTTTATGTAGAGACAGGGTCTCCCTGAGTTGCTTAGGGCCTCACTTTTGCTGAGGGTGGCTTTGAACTCACAATCCTCCTGCCTCAGCCTCCTGAGATGCTGGGATTACAGGAATGCATCACCACGAGTATGAGTATTTCTTGTAGGTCAGGTCTGGTAGCAGTAAATTTCCTCAGTTTGGGTGTTTTTTAAAATCTGGGAATGTTTTAATATCATCTTTATTTTTAAAAGATAATTTTGCTGCACCTGAGATTTCCAGACTTTTWAAATACTTTGAATATTTCTCCCTCTTGACCTTCCCGGTTTTGAATAAGAAATCAGCTACAAATATTTTCGAGGATCCCCTGTACGTGATAAGTTGTTTATCTTGTGCTGTTTTGAAGATTCTTTGTCTTTGACATTTGACGCTTGACTATGATGGACCTAGGCCTTTTGAATGAATTTTGCTTAGAGTTCATTAAACTTTTCAGATATGTGGGTGCATGTTTTCCATCCAGTTTATAAGTTTGGGTCCATCAGGGCTTCAAACATACTCTCCCTCCTCCTCGTGTCCTCTGCTTGGACTCCCCCATGATCTGTGTGTTGTCATGCTGGATCTCTGTAGTTCTGTGTATTTCCTTCATTCTCTTTGATTCTCAGACTGGATATCTCTGCTGACCTGTCTCCAGTTCAC